GGTCCCAGTGCTGGTGACAGGGCCCCACCTGGCATGCAGATCGCCCAGGCGCTCGATGGGGAGCAACCGCGGACCGCCTCTTTGTGTCGCCCTCCCGCCTCTCCGTGGCACGGAAAGTAGCTTCAGCACCGCCTCAGCCATAATGATGAAACTGGTATTAACTGAATGGCAATTATGGATTTTTAACTCTGATTCACAGTAAGCCAGCAAGCCATATGTTTAAAATCCAACCAAAAATCCTTCTGCTCTGCTGCGCGTCCCATACGACTGAGAAGTTGCGAGATCTGTCTGTTCGAGGAGGAAGAGGAGTGTCACTTGCCGAGGAGCAGCGCCGGAGCAGGAAGCGAAGACGTCTTAATTTATCCTCACAGATACGCGATAGTTTATTTATATAGATAGAGTAAATATATATATATTCTATATATATTTTTGTTGGTAATGAAAATGGCCCCGCAGAATGCCGACTCAGAATCTATGCAAGTTCGCGAGTCACCTGTGCCCCTGCCGGACCTGCAGAAGCCGGGCGGGGCGGCCGCGGAGCCCCGCGACGAGACCACCAGCGAGGGCTCCGTCGACCGGATCCCCGTGCGCCTGTGGGTGATGCACGGGGCGGTGATGTTCGGCAGGGAGTTCTGCTACGCCATGGAGACGGCGCTGGTCACGCCCATCCTGCTGCAGATCGGTGAGTGCCCGCCCGCCCCGCCCCGTCTGCCGCGGGGCGGGGAGGGGTCCTCGTGTCGCCACGGAACTGGGGCCGACCGGTGGTCGAGCAGCGCTTGGGCGGTGCGGCGGGCACCCAGTGGTCCCTCGCACCTGCTGCTGGGCCCCTGCCCTACCGGACGCGGTCCCCAGCCGAGCCCTGCCGGTGAGCTGGTAGCCTGCCGCCGCCCGCCTGGCCCGGGACGTCGGTCGGCGCCCCAGCGCGGTCTTCATGCTGACGTACTCTGCGCCCGCCGTGCCACTGGGGGTCACGCAGCCGGCTGCGGTGCCAGAACCTTAGCCCAGGACTTTGTCGCTGTCTGAGGGGTGTTTGGGCCGCTCGCCCGGCTGCTGCGCCCCCGTGTGGCCGCGCCCTCCGAGGCCCACCTGGCGCTGGCCCCGGGTACACGCAGACGAGCTGCTCCGTGAGCCCAGCCCCCGGTGGCAGCGGCCAGTGGCCCAGGTCTGCAGACCGTGGCATTTCCTGCCTGCTAGACCAGGGCCTCGCATTTGGCGCTCACGGCCAGGCCGGCCCTCAGTGGGCCTCCACGCCGCTGGCCGCTCCACGGCCCGCCCGCCTCTGCGTCGGCGCTTGGCCGCCCGCTTAGGCCCCGCCGGCTGGGGCTGTGTCTCAGCGTGCTCTGCCTGGCCTCGGCCTCCCCATTCCAGCCTGCAGATTGTGTCCCAGGAGGCCTGTGAGGCCCGGAAGGCCTTGGTCCAGGTGGTCCAGGACCTTTCTGGGCCCCCGGAGCAGGGTGCTGGGGTCACTCTCCTCTCTGCTTTTCACTCTGGCCTCTGGGAGCAGCAGTCTGGGGGGGCCCCAGGAGAGAGGGGCTGGCAGTGGGTTCTGCGGCACGTGTCGCTGAAGGCAAGGACTTGCCGGGGTGGCTGTGAGCACCAGCAGTGGGGTGCGTCGTCTGTTGCTCCCCCTGTTCCCGTGGCGGGTAGACAATCAGGAGCCTCTGGGTACTGGGAAGTACGTGGGTGCCGCCAGTTGCGACGGCGGTCGCCCCAGACTCCCTGCCGGCAGGGTGCCAGAGGGCCTGCAGCCCCGAGGCCCCGCGGCCGTCCTCCATCGGCGGCGACAGACAGGCCG